GCGTCTCTCTGCGGCGCCGCCTGGGCGTCCTCCCCTGCAACGGTTGACTTAACCTGCTGGCAGGCGAGAGCATTGCAGTCCTCTGTCCTGTGAGCGGGCGGCATGTCGACAAGGCCGCAGAAACCCATGATCATGTTGATCCTCTTTAGCTTCTTGCTCATGTGCCGGCCGCTGGTGCACGGCAAACAGTTCGTCAAGATGGACGAGAGGCGCCACAATGCCTCCTGGGTGGCCCTCCCTCACCTGCCGCAACACCTGCAGCAGCAAGCCGAGCACCAGCCAGTGCCAAGTGCGGTGGAGACGACAACTGCTGAGACAGAGCCGATGCTGAGAGAGGAGCCACATGATTCAGGCGGGGCTGTCACGCAAATGACATGCAATGGCAGCAGAAAGATCTGTCTGTCTGCTGGTGTATGGGTCTTCTGTGCAGGGCCGCTCACAGGCCACGAGAAGTGCGACCGTCTGGGCTTCCTTGGCCACACACCCATTGCAAAGGGCCACATCCGCACTGCAAACTCAGCCATCTGACCACCCTGCACTTGTCGCAAGAAGTGTTGATCAATCGCAAGCAGGTACTGTACGGCCGTGCCCACATTCTCTGTGTGTCTGTCGCACCGCGTCTGTTTCAATGCAGCCGCTGCTGCTGAGGGAATGTCTGTGCTGGCTGCATGGTGCCGAAAGGTGTTACATATTGGTGGAGGTTCTAGGCAATTAGTTAGGCACCGCGGTGCGTGTCTGTCGTCTGAGGAGAGCATGTGTGAATGGATTGGATGAGGCGTGCAGAGACTTACAAAAAAGGAGACTGGCTTGGATTGGATTGAAGGACACTCTTTCTCACCCACCCACACACACACGCACACGGACATGCATCATACCTTCATCCACGAGTGAGTCGATCTACTTTGCCGTCGACACTCTACACCCACCCAGTGCCATTGACATCAGGCGCTCCCGCTGCCATCGTCTCCACTGACTTTGGCCCGCTTGGCCCCGCCCTCGCCATCGGTGAGCAGCCCCCTCTTGCCCCGCACCTCCCCCTGGCCAATGTTGGCACTCGTCGACGCATCCTCACCACCAGCAGCACCACCACCGCCACCACCACCACCGCCGTCAGCACACATACACGACTGCATGGCTGCACACACGGCAACACAATACATACAAAGGATGGGAAGTGGGTAAGAGGAGACTGGGGTTGTCTGTTGATGTACCGTGTTGCTTGGTCCACTGTGAAGCGGTGGCGTCGAACTGCTGAGGGGAACGCTCCAATAGTGCAGCCTGCATTGCGAGAGGGGGGCGGGCCAAAACACAAGAAGACCGATGCAGCCAGCCCCTGCAGATCACCGTACCGCTTCCTGGAATGACAAAGGGCAAGGAAGGAAACATGGATTCACATGCAGCTGTATATGTCATCACATGTGTGTCTCACTTGGTTGAGAGGGTCCTTGGCGTTCGGCTCGGACAGCAGGCAACTGAACCAAGGCAAATGTCGCACCAAAGAAGAAGGTCCCACAACAACACCCCTTGGGCCTCTGTTTTCTTGTGCAGGTACCGGATGGTCATCATGAGCGAACGGATGTTGGCTAGCGGCGTCCAACTGCCCTGCGCACCACACACACACACACACATGGATTGCTCTTCCTTCCTGGCCTTGTGCAGATCGGTGGATACGTGTGGTTTGGCTTTGAGGAGATCCACGCATATACGACCACCCTGCTCTATGTTGGGGTGGAATACCGGCGTCTGTGTTTGCCAAGGAGCAGAGGGATGCAGAGAAGTCGACGCTCTACCGGGAATGTACCTCAAACTTGACGTCAGGCGGCACGAGTGGGTAGCGGTCGGGCACACTGATGCTCAGACGAAACACCCCGCCGGCATACGCAGTGCCCTCGGGACCACACATCTCTGAATTTCAATGCACAGAAGAGAACAACGAACGAACACGCACGTACGAACGCACATTCGTCCATGGACATTGAGAAAAGATCCTCCCTCGCCCACCAGCGGAGAGTGTCTGGATGGAGTCAGTGGTGGAGATGCACACCCCCTCAGGCGGCTCGTTCACCAGCATCTTCAGTTCAGCCTTCATGCGATTCGCCAGCATCGTCAAAAACCGGTCAGAGAATGGTCAAAAAGTCGTTCTTGCAGTGGAAGCCGTAGCAAGGGCGGGTCCCGTGCGGCCTTCTTCTCCAATTTTCTTCCTTTCCGCTCGCCTACTTTTGCGAGCTTGTAAATCCTTATGCGATCCCTCTGCAGTCGTTGCAGAGAAAGGGCAAGAGGAGGAGAGAGGACACCCCTGCCCTTCAGTGGCTGACGTAAGTGGCGGATTGGCTCGGTGAGAACGGAGACCGCGCCGTCGAAGTGGCGTCTGCAGCCCCCGCACCGCCCACGCATCGCATGCCGACCTTTCGCGACCTTCCTGGATAAGGGAGCACCCCATCGTTGTCGGCTATCGTCTCTCAGCCATCGTTATGGACGGAGCATCGCCACAAGACCGCGAGAGCGGCCGCGGAGCCGCGGACACGGCCAAAGAGGTGCAGCAGGAGGATGGTGCGAGGCGCGAGAGGCTCCATGTGTTGGATTCGGTGTCTGGTACGAGTCAGCTGCACCAGCTGTCGGGCATGAGCCAGCTGCCGCCTGAGGATGACAGTCCCAAGGGCGGCAGTCCGCACAACGAGAAGGACGAACCCATGCATCCTGCGGCATCGGCAGTGCAAGACCACCAGCACCAGCCCAAACCCACAATTGCAGATGTGACGAGGCCGGCCATTCCACCTGTCGGCGAGGTCTCGCAAGGCGCCTTCCCCCTTCCCGGCCAAGAGGCGTCCGTGGACCTCACTGCGGTCCAGGCGGGCTTTGTGCAGCCGCAGGACAACGGCGTTCCCAGCTACGGATTTCCTCCCATGGCGGCCCCTATCGTGGTCAAGGAGGAGGTCCCATCGTCCCCCGAGCAGCAGCGAGCCATTCCGTCCTCCTCTGCCAGCGGCCCCCACACAGGCGCCCCGTCCGAGTCCATGTACGCCCAGATCCTCGCCCGTGTGCTGCTTCGTGAGCTCAAGGAGAAGATGGGCGACCCCCAGCCCAAGTCACACACACCGCAGATCCAAATCAACCTCAAGACGCGGCCCGAATGCTTCGTGGTGAGGGCCGAGAACCTGTCCGAGGAGCAGGCGGCCAACTCCCCCCCGCCCACCACACACCCCCTGCACCCCCAAGGCGTCTTCAGGGCGCTGCGCGCGGCGGTGCATGACAAGAACATGCGAGCAGCGGCTTTGGGCCTGCCCATGTGGAGCGGCTATGGGGAGATCATCGATGGGGGCGATGATGATATGGGTGGGAGTCGGGATGGCGGGGACAGTGACCTGGACATGTGTGAGGTGCCGCACGGGCGAGGTGGCGAGGAGGGGGCGGGG